AGGTTACTTATAGTGAGTTTGGATGAATCTGATTGGCTAGCTAATGAGTGTAGATGAGTGGCCAGCTGCAGTCAATCATATCACGTGCTCCTCTCGAAATTAGTTTGTGAAACTTCATAATATGTCTCAATCATTATCCTTCAACTTAGTCCCTTATTTATCAGGGGTCACCACAGTGAAATGAACCACCAACTATTCAAACACATGTTTTACGCAGCGGATGCCCTTCCAGCTACAACCCAGTACTGGAAAACAGCCATACACTTCCACACTCATATACTACGGCCAGTTTAGTTGATCTAATTCACCTATAGCGCATAGAAGCCAGAGCACCTGGAGGAAACCCATGCCAACAAGGGGAGAACATGCAAACTCCAAACTAAAATACCAACTGGCCCAGCCGGGACTCGAACCAGTGAACATCTTGCTGTGAGATGACAGTGCTAACCACTGAGCCACCGTGCCACCATGTAAATATTTTCAAATGTATAAATCACCTACTAAGATACCAAACATCAGCACAGTAATAGTCTACAGTTTTCAATCTATATATCTACAGATTTATATGTAAAAGCCCTAAAGTCATTATGCTTCCTTCAGAGAACATTTAAATAATATACATTAAAGTGATTTTAATAATTTACATATTTATGTTTATATGAACAAATGTATTTCTGTATTTGCTCGCCAAGAAATTCCACACATTTACTCTGAAGTTTGTCAATAAATAGATAAAATGCAGCACATCAGTTAATCATAATCACCAGTAGACAACACTTCCCCACATGCCCTACATTTGCTTAAGTCAGCATAATTCCAGCGCAGTAACATAACCACCGTATACGTTCACGGATTTATACACATTCAATAGGCCTTCGTGACCCACCATTGTCAGCTCATCCTTTCAGTGGCGATCACTAATTCATATGCGCTTCAGTGTTTTGTTTTAATTTTGGTGTCAAATTCAGCACCGCTGAAACCCGAGCTGAGGAGATTGGGCATGTGAGAGAGCGGGCAACAGAGAGATCTGACAAAATTATACGGCTTATTAAATCTGTCAAAGCGCTTTGTCTGCCGACAAAACCTCTGCTTCCCTACGGAGAGTTCATTATAGCTGCTGGGGGAACAAAACAATGCAGATATGGTAGTTCAGCACAATAAAAATAAGCGCTTAAACAGAGATAAAAACGAAATTATTAGGTATACCTATGAATGGGTCTCAATGTCCACTGACAGAAATAGGTTGTCAAGCATCAGAATAATAATAATGTAATGGAGCTTTCATTTTTTTATTGTTTTTCACGCAAGAAAATTTATAATGACTAAAATCACAATATTTTGTATATTTATTTTCAACCAAAAATCTTATCAGAAATATTTAAAAGAAGTCATGTGATCACATATTAAAAACACTATTAAAGATCAGTGAAAGCCCAAAATATATTGCCTTATAATGTTTTTTAAAACTATTTTTCTAGGTTTTAGCTTTTTGTCAGCAATAACATTTAAATCCTTTAAAATCTATTAAGATTTAGCATAATTATGTATTATTTTAAGTATAACAAATGGATGTCAGATCAAGTACATTGTTTCATTCATCCATTCATTTTCATCCACTTTTTCAGGCCCAATTCGCGGGGGCAGCTGTCTTAAGGCTACGCCGTGGCCGTTGGCGTAGCTGAGGTGCACCTCTCAAAAAATGTTTCTACTCGCCGCAATGATGCGTAGCTGTACATATAAAGATATGTTATGTGTGTGTGTGTATATATATATATATATATATATATATATATATATATATATATATATATATATATATAAGCCCACTGTGTGTGTGTGTGTGTATATACACACACATTCACACATATATATATGTATACATATATATACATATATGTGTGTGTGTCTGTGTGTGTGTATATGTGTATGTGTGTGTGTATAAATGTATATATATATATATATATATATATATATATATATATACATACACACACACA